ACACACACACACACACACACTAACCATGCCAGGCGAGACTCTAGCCTCATTAACACAAGTTCCATGCCCACATAGCTCAGAGTGAGATGCGCCCGTGCAGTCATCGTGTCTCTCACTGCAGTGAATGCCGTACCAGTTAGTCGCACACATGCACCTGGAAGAAATGAGAAGTATTTCCATTTCTTTAAAAAACACGTTTTAGTAAGAGTTTACGGCACTTGCAACACAATAAGGTCATTATATAAGCGCGCACATGCACCTAGAAGAAATGAGAAGTATTTTCATTTTAAAAAATGTTTTAGTAAGAGTTTTACGGCACTTGCAACACAATAACAATACGGTCATTTAAGAGCGCACACATGCACCTGGAAGAAATGAGAAGTATTTCCATTTCTTAAAAAAAAAAACCCGTTGTAGTAAGAGTTTTACGGCACTTTCAACAAAGTAAGGTAATTATATAAGCGCACACATGCACCTGGAAGAAATGACAAAACATTTCCATTTATAAAAAAATGTTTTTTTTAAATAAGAGTTTTACGGCACTTGCAACACAATAACAATAAGGTCGTTATGTGAGCGCACACATGCACCTGGAAGAAATGAGAAGTGTTTCCATTAAAAAAAAAAAACACGTTTTAGTAAGAGTTTTACAGCACTTGCAGCACAATATGGTCATTATATAAGCGCACACATGCACCTGGAAGAAATGACAAATATTACCATTTATTTAAAAAAATGTTTTTTTATAAGGGTTTTACGGCACTTGCAACCCAATATGGTCATTATATAAGCGCCTGTTGACCGTGCACATGCACCTAGAAGAAATGAGAAGTATTTAAATTTCCATTTTTAAAAACGTTTTAGTAAGAGTTTTACGGCATTTGCAAAACAATAAGGTCATTATATAAGCGCACTCATGCACCTGGAAGAAATGTGAAGTATTTCCATAAAAAAAACACGTTTTAGTAAGAGTTTTGCGGCACTTGCAACACAAAACGGTCATATACGGCACCCGAAGATTAGAGGTGTTAGGAGAGAGTAACACACACAAAAAAGAAAGAGGAGAGATCAGGACGACAGATGTATGGTAGAAAAGAAGGAGCAAAGCACACTAGAGCAAACATCATCGATCGACCTATTAAGTATTTCCATTGTAGTAAGAGTTTTACAGCACTTGCAACACAATAAGGCCATATAAGCGCCAGTTGGCCGCACATATACAGCTGAAAGAAGTTGTTGTTGTTATTGTTTTTGCTGTTGTTGACAACAATGTTCTACATAATAATATATAAGAGTGAGAAGGGGTGGGGGAGGGGATTAATCAAGTGATTAAATAATCAAGTAATCAAATGGTCGCTTTTAAGGACAAGTGGGCTAACCCAGATTTCGGGGGTTTCCAGAAACCTTTACCTACACCAAAAGTGGTCATTGCCTTAACTATAGAAAAAATTTTGTTTCATTGGTCAGTAGGCCTATATTTGTTTGGTTATAGAGAAAACTCTCCTTGTCTTTTAAAGAAACTGAACAAGGGGCAAAAACTTTACCTTCCATTTTCTCAAAACCCCCCCACCATTTTTCGGGATAGCCCCCTTGTGCTTAAAAGCTACCAAATAATCAGGTAATCAGGTATTTACATAATCAGGAAATCAAGTAATTTCATCGAGTAATTACGTGATCATAATCAAGAAAGCAAGTGAATCAAATAATCTAGTAACCAAATAATCAAGTTATCTAATAATCACATTAAAAAAAAACCCCAAGATAATCAAGAATCACGTAATCAAACAATCACATAACCAAGCAACCACATATTCAAGTTGTCTAATAATTAAATTTA